CTTTCGAGTCCCAGAATACTGAAGCCATCACCTTATTTGCCGACAAAATTGACTTAGCCTTTTTAGGGGGTGGTGAACCAGGTCTTCTCCACTGTTTTGATTGTTGTTTTGTTTCCGGTGTACAGTAATGAATCCATGTTTCGTCCATAGTAACAAAACGATTCAAAAAATCATCTGCATCGGCTTCAAATAACTCCAAACAGTCGCGTGAAATAGTCAATCGCGTCCGTTTTTGTTCAACTGAAAGCAGTCGCGGAACCCACCTCGCAGACACCTTGTGGAAACCCAACTCGTTGACAATGATGTTTTGAGTTCGTTCATAAGAGATACCTATAATCTCGGCTATCTCTCTAATTTTTAATCTGCGGTCTCCCATTATTAAATCAAGTACTTTTTTAATATTTTCGTCAGTAGTTGACGTCGAAGGCCTTCCAGAGCGGGGTTCATCTTTCACACTCTCTCTACCACGCTTAAATTCTGCTATCCATTTTTTGACGGATGAATATGACAGAGCACAATCGCCTAATGTACTGACCATGTCATCATGGATGGCTTTTGATGATAGCCCCTTCTTATGGAGGTACTTAATGACGGCACGCTGCTCGATTTGCTCCATTCGCGGAAATTATGTCCGATTACTTTGTTAATAAATTTATAAAATCACAACTAATTATCGCACACGTTTAGAACTTCACACAATGAACTAGTCTGAACTGAACTAAATAATATGGGTAGATTTGATTTTTAGAATTGAATGGATCTGTGTTAGGCCGAGTACTTTTCAATCCACCCTCGTATAAGTGCATTAAACTTCAATGCATATCAAATATTATTATAATTCACTGCAATTGTTGGATGATGTATCAAATTTATTAAAATTAATACTAATAATAGTGGTGACAAACGAATACACAGGTCATCTGATCTGTGATAAATATATTATGTTGAAAGCATAATACCCTTCATCTGTAGGGGAGCGCTGTGCTAGTTGTAACAGGGGCAAGTAGTAACAAGCATTTTTTACCTAGATAATAGAAGAATATTCATTTGATTTTCAACCTAACCTACTATTTAACACCCATTCCATCATATGAGCGCGATCAGTATCCCGTTGGATGGCGCAGAAGACAGTGTTATGAAGGCGCTCCGATAAGACCAGGTAATGGACATTTTTTGTTTTTGTAAAATTGATTATTCTTGATTTCAAATTGTTTAGCAGTTGTTGCTTTATTAAAATACATTTAACATTTGTTTATTTCGATTATGTTAACTTTAATTTTACACCAAATAAGGGATATATTTTTTTATAACATTTATTTCCAAAAACGTTGCAGTGGGGTATGTTGTAACATTTTCATGGGGCAAGTTGTAACAAGTTACTAAAATCCCCTTATTGATATATTATTTCTGTGAAATTACGTTGGGCATACTTCAATTTCTTCTTTTCATGTTTTTAATACTTTTTTCTTAAAGTTAATTGATTTTATCTATTTCAGAATGAGACAATATAAAAGAAAAACTGAACGTGCATCCCAAAGCCCAGATGTGTACGAATTGGCTTCTGTAAAAGTCTTGAAAAATAAAACCAGTGTACGAAAAGCTGCAACACATTTTAATTTGTGGCATGTGTCACTATATAGATATGTGAAAAAAAGAAGAGTAATAAATCTCTATCAGTCGGCTATGTCAAACCCAGATTAGTTTTTAAAGAGAAAGAAGAAGCTAAAATATTAGAGTACTTGCTTACTTGCTCCAACATCTACTTTGGATTGCTTGCTTTGGAAGTCAGAAAGTTGACATACCAGTATGCTGTTATGATTGAAACGAATAATGTACCTCCGTCGTGGCATAAAAACGAATCAGCTGGACCTGATTGGTTCAAAAATTGTATGGTAAGAAACCTAAGACTGTCTCTGAAGACGCCTGAAGCTACATCTCTGAGCCACGCAACATTCTTTAGAGTTTAAAAAAAAGAGCACCTTTGTTTTTGAATATTTTTCTATTAGATTAAGTATAAAACTTAAAAGTCTAAGTCTGTTATAGTGTGTCTAAGTTTATAAAGCTACATATACTAAATAAATCTTTGAAAAATAGAAAACTGGTTTTCAATTGCTAATGTTACAATTTACCCCAAGCCTGTTACAACTAGCCCCAATCACGGGGTAAGTAACACTCGTTACTTTTTTTTCTAAGCCATTTTTATAAGAATTCATCACAGGTTTGATCAAAATTTTATTTGAAATCGATAGTTGAATAGTAGCTCCTTCGAACAGTACTGCTATATTTTCTAAATACTCAACAAATAAGCTTCCATAGCCAAGAAACAAACAATTGTTACAACTAGCCCCCCGTTCCCTACTCGATTAAGAATCAAAATAGAGATGTGTTATTACCAGAAAATTAAGATGAATCTGACGAAATGAAATTGAAATTGGACGGCTCCGTGGCGCAGTGGCTTAGCAATGAGTTGATGCGCTGGGGGCCGCGGGCTCGAATCCCGCACGGAACAAGTATTTGTATGGCCTACAAATAATTGTTCGTTGTTTGGATGTTTGTCTTTGTGCAATTTGTGTTTGGAAACTGCCTCCACGATACAGGAGAAAATCCTAGTGTAACTAGTGGTAACGTTTTTTAAGAAACATAAAAAAGACTAAAAAAAGAAGAAGAAAAAATCGTCCAGTTACAACTTACAATAGAAAATGCTCTACAGTTTTCACGCTACATGAAACACAGCAGCGTTATACTGCTGTATTATGCTCGTGTTCTCATTCCCGATTAATAATTCCTCTAATAGGAGCATGTAAGTGAATTATCCATTTCGCCTTGAATTCAAGGTACAAAACTGATACACCGATGTCATTACAATGCTAAACCTTGCCTATTCCATCACAGTGACACAATAGAGTTTTCTCGGTGGATAATATGAAACAAGAATTAAAATAGTTAACTACAACTATAAAATAATACTGTTCGATATTTGAACATGACTCACATTTTATTTTATGAACTTACATCATAATATAACAACTTAGTGTATTTCGAATTTAGCGATGAACTAATCCTTACGAGTGATTGATAACGCCGCTCTCACACAATAAACACTATATTTTATTACGTGGTAGAATCATGCTGCCGCAATTTTATGTTGTAGCACAAATGCGTCGGCTCGACCGGGGACAGACCACGCTCTCACAGAATATAAGCGTAAATTAGCAGCTCAATGTGGCTGTGTTTCGTATGGTGAGTGTTGAGAACCGTATACCATTTTCGGAACGAGGCATTCCTTCTTAGTCCTCAGGGGTGACAACGTATCTGCATTTTGATTCTTAATCCAGGATAGATGTATATGTCTATGAGCCACAGCATTCACCTAACCATAAGGTGACTGTGTGCTCATTTGTCAGTGTCACCGTTGTTCTATATTTAAAAAAAAAACGCGAAACGAATTTACTTATATAGCGAAACCTGTACAATAACAAGAGCATTTTACCCTTTCAGTACTCAATTCAACACAAAACGAAAGTGGCATGGACTGATTTTATAAATTCAGTATACCTATTAAGCAATCATAATATTTCTTAGAAAAATAATGGTCTACTTATGTTATTCATAAAGTTGCAGTCTGACCCGGAATTTCGGTCCCGTTGCGATCCTGCCTTATAAGGCGAAACTATAAAGCCGCATGCTTGAAGTTGATTAAATTTTAACGTGAAAATTACAACATTCTAATTAATAATTACTTATCTATCTTACTAAGTTAACGGTTTTAGATACCTATTATGCCGTATTACCCGTATTACTAAATAGAAATGCTATACCTAAGTACCTACCTACATATTTATTTTATCTGTATTTTAATTTTGCAAAATATGCTTTGTTATAGGTACATAGGTATCAATATAGTTTTTGCACATTAGTATTACAGTCATACAACATTTATGTAAGGATGTCAATTATATATTTTTTTCTATTTCGTCTAAATGTTAAGCTCACCATTTTCAGTTATTAAAGGTTGAACTGTAACAACTGAAAATGGAAATTCCATTCATAAATATCTAATCCACAAACCAGTGAAGAAGTTCAGGGTAAATAGGTGCGAGATCTTGCCTTTGCGCTACGGCCACCTATCTAACCCACGAGGGTAGAGCGGTGAGTCAACTTCCAAAAATGCATGCCTACTGATAGGTACATTTTTAGAATGACTTATGTCCAGTTATGAAATTAAAAGCTGGAGGCGACCTGGCTTAGTGAATTGAGTTGGTTGAGTAAGTTAGTGAATAGAATATTTGGTTACCAGTCGCTGAACTTGAATTCTAATCCCAGGGTCAATATTTACGTGGAAACATAACTCAATAAATTTCATAACTGAACATAACAAGTATTTCATATTACCGTTTTGTAAAAGTATGTAGAGGTAGGTATATAACTTTTTTATAACATCTCCTCGTCACCGCATTTTGGGAGGTTGTTCGTAAAATACCTTCTAGTGCGATAAAACCTGTTTATTTTGTCGTTTAGGATATACTCTGTACGCAATTAGGTATATATACCTACATTTATATACAGACTATACAGATACACAGTATACACACGCGGAAAATGTTTGTGTGGGTAAATAAATATGCTTGTACAGGTAGCAGACGTAAAGTTTTATGGTGCTAAACCTTAAAATTTTTTAATTTTAATATATTATGATTGTTTGTAAAGCTTTAAAAGTTAAATGAATGCAAAAGCCTTATGAACACCATATCAAGTAAGAGTACAATAAAAATACAATAGGCAATAATTCCTATTAAAGTTTAAGCACACGTCCTGCTAAGTAGGTCACGGTTGAGTCCTTGTAACATTTTCTGGACCTCAGCATCCCGAATCAATATCTATTCTATACCTTTAGGATGACCTAGTTTAGGTAAGTATCTCTGTGCTATATGACTTTCAAATTCGGTCGCATAATAACCGGCAACCGAAAATTTTAAAATTTAATTCCAATTCTTACTCACCTTTCTTTGTGCTTCCGCAGCTAATCCAGATTTTGCTGCCCTGTTGTTGGCCATTTTAAACTAACAACTTATATTATATTATACAATAAATATTAAATTAAATCACAGACACGGTAAACGACCGCCAAGTCACTGCGTGCAGCGTAGAGAATAATCTGGCGCTTCAAAATGTAAACAGCCGTGCGGGTCGACCGTCGACCACTTCAATGTGTGAGTGAGTGCTGATGAATGACATCATGCAGCGCGGCCCGGCCGGCCAGTGCACGATCCCGAGTACCGTATAGGCATGTACAATTTTATACTAATCGATATCGATACACAATATAATAAAATTATTTTTGTTTATATTATTATCAAATCATTTTTGACCGCTTGGTAAGGAAATCAACCTTCGCTTCGGGCCCCGGGGGGAAGAACAAGTGATTGTTTCGTACACGCACTATTCAGTATTCGTCCATGTGTATGATGTTCACGTTACTTTAGAAAAAAAGCAGAAAGAAAGATATCAACTATAATTTGATACAAATTACTTTCATTTAAAACAAATATTATTTATGTAGATTTAAATAACAATTAGCATTTTATTTGACCAAATGTGGCTGGAGTTCATTCTACATTAAGAATCATTACAACATGAAAGTTGATTTGCCAGTAATTTGAATTTTTAGAATGCTTTTAAATAGATGGTAATGCTAGAGAAATCCAGAAAAGATAAAGATTAAACTATAGAAACGATATATATTGGTTATTTATTTGATAAAAAGTTAAAAATTACAGCCTATATACATCACACGGCTGGACACAGACCTCCTCTCATTTCTGAAATGGTTTTAGGGTAAAGAAATGTCAATGCATGTTGGCGAACTTTACATGTCTTCGAAATGTATTTTTTCTTATTTCTTAGACATGCAGATTTCTTAATGATGTTTTCTTCACCACCAAGCGTTCTATCAACGATTTCATTGGTGTCAGTAGAGATCGCATCCAGTTTGCTCAAGTATTGTAATATTTACATAGAGCGCTTAACCTCTGAGCTATCACGGCTCATTTATGTGATAAAAGTAATTAAATATTATATTTATCACATAAATAGCCTAATACACTCAAGGCCAAATCTATAGGAAGGCAAAAAAAGTTTATTTCCCCTGTTGTAATTATCGTACGTACTGGCCACATCTTTGTTTTACGAATTTTATTTGTTTTTATGTAAGTATTGCGTAATATTGCGTTCTTTTATACTGCTAAAAATTTAAACAACTTTTGAATTTGAGTCTAAATTTATGTTTAGTTCAAATTGCTGCCGTGATTGCCATGTTTATCGAGTTAAGTGTAAATTGTTACTGAAAATAAACCGAATATGCCAGATCTAAACGTCTTTTAAGTTGATAGGGCTATTACTTTTATTGAAACTGGGCACACTTGTAAACATGAGGCCGAAATATTACGAGTATCACAATCTGTGATACACCGAGTAGTCAAAAGGTATCGGAAGACCGGATAATAAATGAAACTGGTAGAAGTAAACGAAAAATAGTAACCAAAGATGACCGGTTCATCGTTACCAGCGTACTTAGAAACCGGATCTTAATTTTTCTGAGGTAAGAAAGAAGCTCCAAGAAGTCCGATGGGTTACAGTAAGCATAAAAGCTGTGAGAAAAATCTGAAATTGGCTGGAATAAATACACACTTGCCTCCCAGATGCTCATATTGCCATATACAATCGAGTAGCTTGAGTTAATTTTCCTCGTAATTACGAAAATTGGAATGACGAAGCTTGAAGTCAATTTCTATTCACAAACGAGTTCAGATTTTGCCTTAAGCCAGATGATGGAAGGATTGAAGTGTGGAGACACCCAGGGGGAAAGGTATTTGTATGAGGGTATGTACGGAACTCCGGGTCATTGAGAATGGGTCACTAACAGCGGCACGATATGTAACTGACACTTTGGAAGAAATCGTAGTGCCATTTGCCCCTTTTGTAGAAGATAGATTTGTTTTTATGCATGAACTACTACTTCTAATAGCCGTAGTTCTCAAATACCTTCGAGACGTTGAAGTCATTTCATGGGGTGATCAGTGCACTCATAAACTCCATAGAGCATATATGAGATAGACTTGAAAGACAAAATAAATTAAATCCTGTCCCCTCTAATTTCCGAGATCTTCAAAACGCACTAATGGAAGAGTGGAACTCAATCTCTCAAGACTTTATTAATAACTTCAGTAGGAGTATGCGAAGGAGGCTGGTAGCAGTACAAAGAGCTAGAGTGGACAACACTTAGTAATGCTTATAGCGCACACCTTTCTTAAGCATTTATGAAATAAATGAATAAAATCGTTCTTGTAAAAGTTTTCTTTTTTTAAATTGGTAAATTTTTGTAATTTTATCATATGTTTGTAATTTTAAATTATTGAATAATTAGTAAAATCCAAATTAATAAACTTAATTTTCACAAATATCCATGATGTTCTGTTTTAAACACACTTTTTTGTATGCGTTCCTCTAAATTTGTCCATGAGTATAATACAAAAAGCAGAACAAAACGGTATTTACATTGTTTAGCCAAAATAAATTTATATAGATAAATGGTTATCTTTAAATATATAGATAAATTCTAAAGTGGCTGCTAAATTAAACTGCATGAAATCAAAGTGAACACTTAAAACTACTTTTCAATATGATAAAAAAAATTGGAAATTATTTTAATTTTTAAAAATTAAAAATCGATAAATTGCTATATCGATAAAACTCCACTGGTCGCTTGAAATGTAAAATGAAAACCAAGTATGGAGTACAATGAGAGCAAAAGAGATATGAGTATATCTTTCTTTTCGCTCTATCGTCGCGACGACAGAATTACATGCGACGGTGTCGCGCCGAAAATTGTGGAGGCTGTACTGCGAGATAAAGCCTACCTATAATATAATATACCTAGTACACCTTACTTAGATTTGAATTTTGGATGCATGGCGTACATTTTATAATATAAAATGTACGCATATAGGTATATGAAATTTATATACCTACCTACTTGACTGACTTGAAAGCTTGGACAACGCAATATTGCATGGGAAGTACGGAAAAACTTGAGGGTGTTGTACTTATTTAAGTACTTAAATATGAGATAATAATAGTTATATTTCAAGTGAAATCATATTATCGAACAAAGATTTTGTTTCGGAAAACCTTCGTTAAATATTTATCTCTGATTTTTTCTAGAAAATTAATGTAATCAAAAAGAGAAAAATAATTAAAGTTGTTATTTATAACAGATTTTGGAAAAGGTGCAATATTGCATATCTTATTCTTCATGAATAATATTATGATCGAATTGTAAATTATCAATATACAATAAGTGCTTAATACAATATGGTATTATATTAAGCGCCATCTTTGTAAAAACTGTTAGACATAAGCGATTCAGATTTAAGGATGTGAACATGTGAACTGGTTGCATTGAATCTTAAGTTTTAGCACAGATGGCACTGTATACAAACAACTGCTTAAAATACAATAATTATATCTTACTAATTATGTATTATGTGTAACGCAGCAGATATTATTTAATCGTAATTCCTAATAATATTATAAATGTAAAAGTTTGTTTATTTGTTATGCTTTCACGTAAAAACTATTGATAGATTTGGATAAAAATTTGATAGAGCTTGATCTGGTAGGATATCTAGTAGGATACTTTCATCCTGATAAAGGGATCCCGTTGGATAAATTTAAATGTTGGTCCATACTAGACGAACGAAGTCACGGCCGAAAGCTAGTAAAAAATAAGCAATGACGAAGTAGATTACAGTTAATATATTTTTTAATTGTGCATGACGTCCCATAGAATGCATCATCCGAGATCGTCGATTATGAGGCTGTACTTGCCGCTGAAACATCGTTGGCGTGGCTTTTTAAACGCGCTTACGGATGATCCATTCTATAGGGACGTCATCTCTTGTGATAAAGGGCTTACCCCTCTATCCTTAGCCAACGAGCAATGGCAAGACCCGCCATTAGTTTTACTTCCAAAATCAGTAGTATCTATTGTGGCAACTAAGATAAGATTTAAATCTACGTAAACCACATTTATACTTTTTTATATTTCACTTGATTCGAATTATTCCCTAAAAAAGAAAATTTGATACGTATTATACTTTACATAACCCTGAGTTTGAGCACTGGCCGATCCGGTTTAAAGCAGTTTCTCTCTGTACGTGACAAGTCGCTAGTGCTCACGCACACACGCGCCTCAAGTTTGTGGTAAGATTTCTTTACTCATGTGGTATTAGTACCGTTTGTCCAACTGCTGGCCCAGTCAAAACAGAAACAGAAACTTTTTATTCAATATAGATTTATATACAATACTTATTGAAAGTCACTCTTTCGTTAAATTACCGCTGGTTCGAGAAAAACCTCTGGGAAGAACTAGCAAGACACCCAGTCAGATTTTTTTTTAAACAGCTTACAATCATGTATGTTACACAATTAACAACACAACAAATTAGAAATAGCTTGGTAACGATCACCTCATTCCCAGGGGATATGGATATTATCATCCATAAATTCCTTAATATTATAATAACCCATTTTACACAAACATAGTTTAATAAAGTATATGAACTTTGTGAAGTCTCGTATTGAGGGCGACTAAATCTAGTCCAGTTTAATCCTCAGAAGACACAAGTTTGCGCGTTTACCACTAAAAAGAGCCCCTTTGTCGTATCTTCTCAGTTTCAAGGCACTCCCCTTGTTGCCTCAGCCAGTATCGGAATCCTCGGCTCGACATATCGAGTGACGTGCAGTTTCTTGGTCACTTGGAAGAGAAGGCCAAATTGGCCTCTAAAAAGCTTGGCGTGCTCAGCAGAGCGGGACAGTATTTCATGCCGGCACAACGCCTGCAACTTTAAAAGGCACAGGTTCGGCCTCACATGGAATACTGTTCCCATCTCTGGGCAGGGGCTCCCCAGTGCCAGCCCCTTCCTTGACCGCATCCAGCGCAGAACGGCTCGAATCGTCGACGACCGAGTCCTTTTCGATCGGCTTGTTTCATTGG